CAAAATCATCCAGCCGTGTCTAAACTTCATTTCGTCCAAGTTTGCCTGAGTGAGTTTGCAGCAAAGTTCACAGTAGAGTTACCTTTCCGCAAGCTCCCGTCGCGGGCTCGTCCTGCTCTGTATTCTGCAGATCTCTCGGCCTGATTCGGGAGGCATTGTTTTCTTCTCGCTGACAGTCGATGTCCAGCATCTGGAAATGAGACACAATCCTCTTTTCTCACACTATAGTGCATCTCAATTACACACTCACTTGGCAAAGAAGAGCTAACTTGACTGCTCTTTTCCTTTCATAGAGATTTGCAGTGAAATGTTTTCCAGTATTGGAAGCAAATCTCTGTTTTTGTGACCTTGATTCAATGCAGCATTAAATGAAACATCAACAGAAAACTAATGTGTGCGTACTTAAACTCACTCCAACAGTTCTGAAATAGTAATGCACAAACACATCAAACCAAAGACTAAACTGAACTTAACTCAAATACATACATGAAGGAAATTGATTGTAGTTTATTAAAGGTAGGATAGGTCATTTGTTTTATAAACACTTTTTGTTATACTGGTTGAAACGTCTTCACATCCTGATAGCAATCGATAAAAGAAGTGGTCGAAAAGTGGGATTTCAAAACTAGCTTGCTAATGCTAGTCGCTCTGAAATTGCCTACCTTACCTTTAAAAGCTTTAAAGTTAAACTTTGAGATGCAACATGGAGATTTGCACTCAAAAGTGTTCAACCCCAAATTTAAACACTAACAAGATTAAATTTAGGAGAACATATTCAACTTCAATCAAACTTCCAGTTCATTAGCATACAAGCCTTCATAAATAGCTAAGCAAATGGTGGTACCATGGTAAAACCATGTTTTTCAGGACATGCAACATGGTGATACTATAGTTTTCTTTCAAGTACCTCAGTACCATGGTACCGCTAAAACTTTGTTATAAGGTGCAATAGACACATACCTGGAAAACATGTTTTTTAAAGATGCAATTCCCATTAGATAATAGAATTCTGCAGGAATTATGTCATTTTGATGATGTAAAAAGTCACTCGTCACTTTCACAGCATCGCTGTGCTTATAAACGTGCTCTTGCAAACTCTTCACATTCAAACTTTAAGGGAAAATGTTTTGAAATAAACACTGAAAGAGTTGTTAAAGCTTAAAAGGTACAATAAGGTTTTTGTAATAAAATATCCAAAAATCTCTTCCACAGTGTGATATATTTTCCTGCCGTTATGTACTTACAATATTCCAAAAGTTCCCAAAGATTTTTAATTTCAGGGAAAATACAATTTTAAATAATGGCTCGTCCCTTGTAACTTGTCGCCTGTTGATGACGTAATATCCTGGTTTCCGCTCGTACGGCCAATAGTAACCATGGCGACAGACCACGCTCACGCTGTTGTTGTTTGTTCAAACATTATGGATAATGGCAAGCAGAATGTGGGACAAAAGGAGAACTAAAACGAGGATCAATATCAGCGTGGCGTTTTTGAGACGCCGAGAGCTTTACAGAGACGCTGCTCTTGCATGTAACGTTACTTTATTAGACAGGTGAGCAAATGTACATAAAACTAATCAATGTTATATAGCTCAACGTGATGAAATGTTAGAATATGATCAGTGTGTTATTTTAATGTTGATCTAGCTCACTACTAGTCTCATATAGCAAACAAACTAACACATAGAACAACATTATAACTTTCAACACTCAAATGCAGTTTAGTGTGATAGAGTAGAGCAAGTGAAACAGCGCTGCGTTTCCTCACAAGCTTTATTCGTCTCATAAACTGACCTGAGTGAGGAGTAATTCAGCACTTGCGGGTAAGTTAGTTCGCTAGAATGAAATGTCCTCATTGCTTTATATCCGCGGGACTCGCGTGTGGCGCTGAGATCTGTCTCTCATTAGCAATCACGCTTCATTCCACAGATAAAAACATAAATGTATCCACTCATCCATAAACATTATTAGATCCATCGGCATGACGACAACTTCCATAATTCCGCTTATGCGTCATAAACGCCTTTGTTATTGTAAGAGGTTAGCGACCCCTAGCGGCGAAAACAATGACATATTGTAGCTTTAATGGTGGTGATGCTGAAGTCATGTGACCGTGGTGTAGTTCATTTATAGCCAACGTTTAGCTTTTATCTTCTGCCGGTTGTATTTAGGCTTCAAAAATTCATATGTTTTGGATTGGCTGGGAATTGTGTTCGAAATTTACACAATGGAGAGTTTAACAATGAATCTTCGGCTACAGTCCGAGAAATCTGTCAAGCTATGGGGAAAATGGATAGACTGCATTCTCCCACTAAGACCAGACCTAGTATAGAAATTATGAATATTTTTATAATAAAAGTAGGGAAATCTTAAGTATTATTGAATAAATAGAGATACGAAGGATATAAGGAATGAAAGAAGTAATGGTAGGAATAAAAATAAAAGAAATACCCATATTGGGAATGAGAGTACTTCTGGAGTAAAATGTATCATCCTCAAGTGTTTTCTTTTGTATAGTAAAAAAAAAACAAGTAGTCAAAACTGATCAGATCTGGTACCAAAACTACCGGCAGAGTAATAAACATATAGCTTATTGAATTACAAAAAAGAAGCTGTAATGCTGTGTTGGCTGACATTGCCTTGCAACGTACATACTATATTGTTACTACAATTGATGTCTTTGTCCATTTTTTTTTTCTCTTACAATTTTGGATACTACTATTATGGATGTAATATCGGTTTCACAAAATGTTGCTGTTTTTTTTTTCTTTCAGCCAATATACCCAATTGTTGAATGTCTTTACTAAGATTTCAGGTAGCAACCAATATAATTTATATAAGGTAGCATGTTATAATTACTCTAATAAAAACTTAAATATTAAAAAGTTCATACGTTTTGTTCATTTGTGAAGATTATCATGATGAACAAAATGTGTAGGAATCATAAACTCTTGTTGATCTCAGAAATTGAATGCAATAATTCAAAAGCCAATGGAAAAATCCTATTGGGATTTTGTCGAGATGCCGACTCCAAAAAAACCCGTCATCATCGAGTTGTGCTGATTCAATACTGTAATGTTTTAATGCTACAGAGAGACGGTCTCATCGCCGTAAACACTCCAGGTCCCACAACAGGGCTCTTCATCAGACGAGTGCCCTTGAACGAGGATCATTACACTGTTGTGCTTTAGGGAAGCTGTCCTGATCTGACCCGGTCTCGGATGGAGTCAGGGTTGGGAAGAGTAAATACAGCATGTGCTTAATAACAAAGAAAAAGACTCATTATAGCAAATTATAGCTTCAGTTCATGAAGTAGAAATACCCGTCACTGGAGGCCATAAAGGACAGGCTTTCTCATACCGTAGCGATCTAATTATATTTAATATAGTTATAGTTAGTCATAGTGCCTTAACAGCAAAGCTCTTGACCACAATGTGTGTTAACCCTCTGGGGTCCTTCATTTCAGAGTCACACTCAGGACCTTCGGGTCCAAATGGGCCGGAAGGGTGGGATTAATATTTATTAAAAAAAAAATCTTTTTTTTTTTTTACTTGTTTTTTATAATATTTTTTCTTTTCTTTTTTGGTGTTTTGAGATAATTTCAAAAATAAAAATGATTTATAATTAATATTAATGCAATAATTATGATGACCCATTTTTTCCCCATTGAATATAATAGAAATGTAAAAAAAAAAAAAAAAATTTTTTAAAGCTGTAGAGTCAAGCCTAGGCCTCATGAAAGCAATTTTTGAAATGAGATGGATGCCATCTGGTGGACAAACTGAGGATTTTAAAAATTCAAAACCCATATGTAATCTGAATTTATTAATGTGTGTGTGTATAAAAGTGTGTTTGTGTGTGTGTGTGGATGTGTCTGTTTTGCACTCTTGATGTTTTATAGATTCACCCCTTCACTGTTGTGTGCTTTTTTTCTGGATCGTGGCTGATTTGTAGATTGTACGCACAAAATAACTCTGTATTTTCACATTTTTGCCAATTTCCCATTCATTTCCTATGCGGGTCCATTTGGACCCGAAGACCCTGAGTGTGACTATTTTTTTTACAACCACTTAGACTATTCAAATCCTGTCCCCAATTTTTTTGGGAGTTCATATACCAAGTACCAACAAAGTCACCAAATTTCAGACCATTCCGATAAAGCTATGATTGAAAAAAAATTTTTTATTTAAATGCTTCGGGTCCATTTGGGCCGAAGGACCCCAGAGGGTTAAACCTTTTTAAAAAGTATGTTTTAGGAATGATTAGGATTTTTCTGTGATCTTGATATTAAAACATGAACAGGTATTTTACATGCACTATAAGTAGGCTTTACAATCAGTCATGCAAATGCTGTAAGGAACGTTTGATGAATGATTCTTGGTGAAAACAAATGACTTTAGGTCTGTGCAAATTGCTGTCAGGTTGAACACCTTTATGAATCGTTCAATTATTGGACAACGGTAATGACTTGTGCCCAGTGCCACTGGTTTCTCTTCGCATGTACACTGCTTAATCGTGTCAACCTTTCAGTCTTTCCTTGATAAAATCACAGTGTTTAAGGCTAAGGTTAAAGTTGTAGTCAGCCAATTAAACATAACCAGTGTTAGACACTCAAGCGCACCGTTAAAAAGTTTGCGGTCAGTAGGGTTTTTAAAAGACATTTCTTTTGCTAATAATAATGTTTGTTTGTTTTTTCAGGATTTTTTGCTGCATAGAAAGTTCAAAAGAACAGCATTTATTTGAAATCGAAATCTATTAACATTAACATATATAATCTTGCTGACCCCAAACTTATGTGTAGGGTTAATTTTCCACAAGCTTAGGCGTTATGTTAGTTGTCCATCTGCTAAAAAATATTGAAATCTGTCCATAAATCAAACACTAAAGGCAAACATGAAAACAAGTCTTCTTGTTACAAGACACTTTCAGATCCTCATTTCAACCAGGAAATGCAAAAATGCAAGACAAAAACAATTCTAGTCATTCAGATTTAGCATTAATCATTATTATTTCTGAACATAAAAAATGCATGTACAGTCAGTCCGAGCAGAGTTTGGTAACACAGACCAGAAGATGCTTTGGCAAGAGAAGCTCTGACCACACCTGAAGCATGTCAGTAAGGTATTTGCTTTGATAGACCTCTGAAAAGATAAATGCTAGTCTAAAACATGAGTATGAATCGCTGTCAAACTCCCAGTGTTCACTTCATTCACTGCAAGGTGAGTGTACAGCTCACTCTGAGAGCGTTTAAGCTTATGGCTACTTAGAGTTTAACGCCGTTCTGACTTGCAAGCACTGCTGTTAAAGCCTGGCTGTGCACACACACACACACACACACACACACACACACACACACTCATACACAGATAAAGAGTCTATCATGTCTCAGGGTTTCTTCCTCCTCCTCTCAGCATGTGTCCGGGTGTGTGTTTCTCCTCAGGGGTCGATGGGCTCACCGTCGAGATGCTGGGACGAGGGAGGAGGCGGGGCTAAAGAGGAGGGGGCGGAGTCACCCGAGCCATACGTGTTCTGGAGAGATCGGGACACGTAATCCCAGTATTCCCTTCGAATGGTGTCCTTCTCCTCGGCCAGGAACTTACAAAGCTAAAACACACAAACAAAATCAAGGCTCTTTAACAACGACGGAGACCGTAGAGATGCATCAGGACACACGAGCTGTCAATCAAAAATTCAAATTTTGAATATTCTTCTAAAAAAAAAAAAACTGCACATTTGAATGCAAAAACCGAATTTTTGTTGTGTCAAGAGGCGCGAGACATGATGACGTAATGACGCGGTGTGTTTTTGTTAGCTTATCCAATACAGAGCGGTGCGCATGCTTTGTTAATTTGAGAAATGGCGGGAAAAGGCTTCATGCTTGTGCAATGACATACTTGACCAAACCATCGGTCAGATCTGAGTGTGTTTATCAGCGGAAAACATTGTCAACAGAAAGAGCTCAGCGTGTGTGTGAGAGTGTGTTGGAAACACTGTCAACAGAAAGCGCTCAGATCAATCGGAATCGTGTTTTCTCAGGTTACTGATGCACTTACAGTTTTATGCACTATTGTAACCTAATTTTCCTTGCATGCGCATTAAGGAAATACTATTTTATTTAAGAACAATTGTTCCGAAAGTTAATGCTCTTTAAAAAGTTAATGTCATTTCATTTCAATAAAACATGCGATGCTTGATTTGCTTGTTGCGCTCGCTTGCGCCCTCTTGTGGGCATAGGAGACCATACTGTACTTTTTTAAAGTATTCCCTTTAGAAATCGAATATAATTAGAATTTGGCTGATATTTAAGCCAAGTCCCCTTTATTTATACAGCCCTTTTTACAATACAGATTGTTTCAAAGCAGCTTTACAGAGATAACCAGAAAATAATGCAACAGTGTTTGTTGAAAATAGCGTCACGGTCCAGCTTAAAGGGTTAGTTCACCCAAAAATGAAAATTAGGCCTATGTCATTAATGACTCTCCCTCGTGTCGTCCCAAGCCCGTCAGACCTCCGTTCATCTTTAGAACACAGTTTAAGATATTTTAGATTTAGTCCGAGAGCTTTCTGTCCCTCCATTGTAAATGTGTGTACGGTATACTGTCCTTGTCCAGAAAGGGAATAAAGACATCATCAAAGTAGTCCATGTGACATCAGTGGGTTAGTTAGAGTGTGTTGAAGCATCGAAAATACATTTTGGTCCAAAAATAACAAAAACTAGGACTTTATTCAGCATTGTATTGTCTTGCGGTTCTGTTGTGGATCCGCGTTCAGTGCCGCCGCTGACGTGTGTCTGGTGTGTGTGTCTGGTGTGTGTGTGTATTCGGGTTCAAATAAATATGGCTGGGCAAAAAAATGCAAGTCTTCCTCTGTGTGGAAATCCTTAGACATGTTTGCGAAGATTGTTTCGTTTCCAGCGTGCGTCTCCCTCAGACTGTAAACGAAGCTCGGGCGCACCAGACACACACACACACACACACCAGACACACGTCAGCAGCGTCTTACGTCAGCGGCGGCACTGAACGCGGATCCACAACAGAACCAGAATACACACACACACCAGACACACACACACACACACACACCAGACACACGTCAGCGGCGGCACTGAACGCGGATCCACAACAGAACCGGAAGACAATACAATGCTGAATAAAGTCCTAGTTTTTGTTATTTTTGGACCAAAATGTATTTTCGATGCTTCAACACACTCTAACTAACCCACTGATGTCACATGGACTACTTTGATGATGTCTTTATTTCCTTTCTGGACAAGGACAGTATACCGTACACACATTTACAATGGAGGGACAGAAAGCTCTCGGACTAAATCTAAAATATCTTAAACTGTGTCCCGAAGATGAACGGAGGTCTGACGGGCTTGGGATGACATGATGGAGAGTCATTAATGACATAATTTTCATTTTTGGGTGAACTAACCCTTTAAGAGAGCTCACCGATGTTCAAGATGTCTGACGAGAAGATTCAAGACAAATGGATTTTAAACGCCAAGACATTGCGTGAACACTGTACATATTTCAAACGGTGTAAAACTACAGGGGAGTAAAGTCTAAATGCAGCTCTGGCATTTCCCCATGTAACGAGCGTCAGCGTGCGAGAACCGACGGCTCCCTCTGAGCTGCAGTAAAAGCCAGTTCAGACTTTATGAAAGGAAATCTGCTGCTTATGCTCATCAATATTCTGCACTTCACAGTCTCACGGAAAGGTCAGCGGTCTGAGTTCTCAAGCTCGACCTGATGAGGAATTCTCTAGAAACATGAGCAGAATCCTTTCTAGAATTGTGAAGCTTCCACTATAGAACCCCTCAGAACCATTTTAGAACTATTCTGAAGGGTTCCATTATAGAAACCATCACGAATATTCTATAACAATCTGAGGGTTCCACTATAGAACCCCTCAGAACCATTTTAGAACTATTCTGAAGGGTTCCATTATAGAAACCATCACGAATATTCTATAACAATCTGAGGGTTCCACTATAGAACCCCTCAGAACTATTTTAGAACTATTCTGAAGGGTTCCATTATACAGGTGAAACTCGAAAAATGAGAATATGGTGCAAAAGTTCATTTATTTCAGTAATTCAACTTAAAAGCTGAAACTAATATATTATATAGACTCATTACATGCAAAGTGAGATATTTCAAGCCTTTATTTGTTATAATTGTGATGATTATGGATTACAGCTTATGAAAACCCCAAAGTCAAAATTAGAATATTGTGAAAAGGTTTTCATAAGCTGTAATCCATAATCATCAAAATTATAACAAATAAAGGCTTGAAATATCTCACTTTGCATGTAATGAGTCTATATAATATATTAGTTTCACCTTTTAAGTTGAATTACTGAAATAAATGAACTTTTGCACGATATTTGCACGAGTTTAACCTGTAGAAACCATCACGGATATTCTATAACACGATGAGGGAACCAATGTGAGAAAAATGTCACATCACTAATATTTTATAACTATGTGTGAGGGTTCCACTATTGAACCCCTCAGAACCATTCTAGAACAGTTCTGAGAGTTCCACTATAGAAAGCATCACAAATATTCTATAACTGTGTGATGGTTCCACAGAAGAACCCCTCAGAATAATTTAAGACCTGTTGTAAGGGTTCCACTGTAGAAACCATCACAAATATTTTAGAACAGTTTGAGGTTGCCACAGTAGAAACCTTAAGAACCATTTTAGAATTATTGTAAAGTTTCACTGGAGAAACCATCACAAATAGTCTAGAACCATGTGAAGTTTCCACTATAGAACCCATCAGAACCATTCTATAACCGTTCTGAGAGTTCCACTGTAGAAACAATCACAAATAGTCTAGAACCATGTGAGGTCTCACTATAGAACCCCTCAGAACCAATAGTAGAACTATTCTAAGGGTTCCACTGTAGAAACATCACAAACATTCTAGAACAGAGTGACGTTTCCACATTAGAACCCATCAGAACCAATAGTAGAACTATTCTAAGGGTTCCACTGTAGAAACATCACAAACATTCTAGAACTATGTGAGGGTTCCACAAAAGAACTATTCTAGAACAGTTTAAGGGTTTCATCAAATAATCGTTTAGAACCATTCTAATGTTAGAGTTCAAATGTCCAATTCTTTACAATTATGAAAAATCCTTTAGAATAGATTCTGTTCTGATCCAATCTAGAACTAAATGTGTTCCAAAATAAAATTGGTTCTAGAATGACGTGAGGACTCCGAGAATACAGTTCCAGAACTATGCAATTCACTTAAAAAAAAAAAAAAAATTGTGTCTCAGCACAAAACTACACATTTCATATCCGTGGACATTTGTCCTCTGAACGCTTTCATATTCCTCATCTCGGATGCGTGTGAGGGTGACGGAACCTGAAAGGTTGAACCAGTTTTTTTTTAAACACACACACACACACATGCACATGGCCTCAATTTCAAAACAGAAAATCATTTTCAACTCCATCATGATCATCATTGTGGCTCAGGATGAGAAACGCACAGAAAAGAAATCTCATTAACCTCCACACACACACACAACATCCGCACGTTTGCCGAGGAAAACACAAGGCCTGTCACGGAGAGATCCTCGGGAGACGAATAACACTTTCGGTTCTGATTTTCCCTTCTTCACGGAGAGCCAAGCTCTCTGTTGTGCGGAGGCAGCCATGTATATGCGTTTAGTTTGATATGAAACCATAGATCAATAATTAATTAACATCTATTAAAGTTGTGTTGAGTTAATATTTAAAGACAAGTGCTTTCAGCTAAAAACAGAATTTCAAAAGTCTCTAATTACCCAAATCACTGGACGTGGATTATGTCTATTGTTTTGTACGAAACTGAAATATTCAACAGATTCTATAAAATATAGATATCCGTGAGTGAACCTGAACGCTACAAGAGATGAAATATAATTACTACACCAACGGATAAAACCACGTATTCTTTATGAAAACGCTTTACATGGAACACGGGCTAATTAATATTAATATTTATGATGAAAAACTCAGCATTTGATAGTGTCATACATCATAAATCGCTCCTAAACTGAGTTGTAATGTTGCATACGAGGCATATTATGTACGTTTTGCAAAGTTTTACAACAGCAGTTTTGCATCAGTTACACGCTTTAAAGATTATTCAACCATTTAAAACAATAAATATGGTGCTATTTACTGTAAGGCAGTGTGTATGTAAACTTCACAGAAAGCACGTTTAGATGCACAGTAATATCAGCATTTGGTTATATTCTGAATATGCATGCGTGAAGTAAATGCATTTAATAACACAGATGGCATATGACTGTATACAAGAGGGAAAAATAGCATTTGATTACTTGTCTACTGGTATATTCAAACCTATGAAGACTATCTTATTTTTTTTTTTAAAAAGAACGTGGCCCCGCCCATGACACAATTTTCACAGCGAAAGCAAAATCCTGACACGAGAGCAAAGAAAAGCGGTTTGAGAGAAACACTTTTTTTTTTTTAGAGAAAATGTTTTCACACTGATAGCAAAAAATATATATTTGAGATTTTTTTCAAAGTATTTTGAGAGATTTTTTTCTCAGAAATAATTTTAACAATTTCTAATTTATATTTTTTTATGTTCTACGAGAAAATACTTTCTCTCAAAACTTTTTTTAGTCTCAAATATTATTATTTGCTATTGGTATGAAAACTTTTTCTCTCAAACATTCTTTTTTCTCATGAAATGCTTTTTTGCTATCAGTGTGATAACTTTTTCTCTCAAACTTTTTTTTTTCTCTCAGATCATTTATTTTCTCGCATGTAATAAAGAAACATTTCTAGCTCCATAAAATACAACTTACAAAGTTTTTAATTATGTATATTACATACTAAATTTATAATGCCTATTATTGTTAAATAAATATTTTATAGGTGAAACTCGAAAAATTAGAATATTGTGCAAAATTAATTTATTTCAGTAATTCAACTTAAAAGGTGAAACTAATATATTATATAGACTCATTACATGCAAAGTGAGATATTTCAAGCCTTTATTTGTTATAATTGTGATGATTATGGATTACAGCTTATGAAAACCCCAAAGTCAAAATTAGAATATTGTGAAAAGGTTTTCATAAGCTGTAATCCATAATCATCAAAATTATAACAAATAAAGGCTTGAAATATCTCACTCTGCATGTAATGAGTCTATATAATATATTAGTTTCACCTTTTAAGTTGAACTACTGAAATAAAAGAACTTTTACACAATATTCTAATTTTTCGAGTTTCACCTGTATATTATAATTTTGGCATACTTTGTATAGAGAAAAGGTCTGATGGGGGTTTATCAGACGGGCTGCAGTGTTAACTTTGCATGAAAAGATTGTATTAGTGCTTTTTCAGAAAAATAAATTACATTTAATATGTTTTATTTAAATAAGTCAAGCACTTTTCAAGTACCGTATTTTCCGCACTATAAGGCGCACCGGATTATAAGGCGCACCTTCAATGAATGACCTATTTTAGAACATTTTTCATATATAGGGCGCACCGGATTATAAGGCGCATGAGATACTGCAGTCAAACGTTTGACTGGGTTTGCGTTATGCATCCACTAGATGTGCTAAAGGGAATGTAGCGAGTGCGCGGCGCCGGAGGCGAGGCGTTTATTAGTAAGCGTGAGCGCGCTGGGGCGGGCACGTAACTTACATTCGCAGCCTGACTCATATGAGTATTCATGTGTGGCGGCTCGCTGACAGCAACAGCTGGCTGTTTTGAATGAGACGACCCGGTTACTGTGAACTAGAGATGCGCGGTTGGCGGTTACAGCCGCGGACTCGGATCGGGCGGATGACGGGTTCGGGCGGGTGGCGGGCGGTTGAACCAGACAAATGAAAAAATATACATTGTTAAATATTGTCTATGCAGAGACTGCTTGTTATCAGAGATAGCAACGCCGGCGAAGGAGGTAGGCTACGTGACAAACTCAAAAAAAGGAGAATTAAAAACAAAGGAAATGGAAGGTCAGAAAAGTGACGCCTGGAATAAGTTGTGCGCTCTCTTGATATGCGCCCGTTCGATATTGTTTCTGGTAAAGGATTCCACCAAGTGGCCCAGACGTTGATTGACATTGGAGCTAAGTTCGGTGCTGTTGACGCTGGACGAGCCTGTTCTGAAGACTCCCGTTCATTTTGAATGCACGGGAAGAGAGCGGAGAGCGCGTCTTTTTCAGGCACAGTGCAATTCATTTTATACCATCAACAGGCCTAACAATCATATAATAAACTATAGAGCCTCGATATTAAAGAAACGCCGAAGTCACTCCTAGGCTTTTTCGTTGGTGCGCCAGCAGCTATGTCTACAAAAGACAGATGAAATCTAATATTAATAATTGATCCATGTCGGCATACACAGCCTAATATTTTTTATAATGAAAAATAGCCTACACAATCAAGATAGACTATTTAGTTTTTAGCCTATTTATTAAATCCAGGAAATTGGTTAATGAAACATGGATTAAAATGAAGATACAATTAATACAAAACGAAATTCGCTTTAAAGAAAGGCTTTGTGCTTTATTGAGGCCTCTGTGAAAGTTTGAAAGTCTTTTAGTGCCGCTTTCTGAGTGTTAGCGTCCGTAATGGAGAACTGTCACGCCCCATACAATAGCAGCAGCATGTTGAAATTATGTGCCAAAATGCGTTTTCTATTTGGCCACAATGAAAATATTGTACAGTAGCCTATCAGATAAGGTCAGGTTTGTCGAAGTGTGTTTAATTTAGGCTATTTTTTATTTTTGTCCCTGCGCGCCGATCGGAGACAGAGTTCACTGCTGATATTCTGAGAGCTTTCTAGTCTCGCGGCTGTCATCATCAGCAGCGCCTTGTATCGCCCAATCAGCAGATGGCAAGCGGATGCGGTTTTGAAAATTGGTCAAAAACGTTGGTGCGGATGGATGGCGCATGGATGGATGATGAGTTTTGTGATGCGGTTGCGGATGAAATAATAGCCCATCCGCGCATCTCTAGTGTGAACGGGGAGCGCTTTATGAACATTATGTGCCGCACGAGCAGCGCCGGGGACAGTGTGTCTGTTCGTAAGAGTGAGCGCTCGTGAGCGGGCACGTGACTTACACACACACCTGAACTGGCCGTGTGACAGAGCGGGCATAAGATGGACGCGAGTTCGCAGGCGAATTTAATAACGCGGAGCGTAATTAACCAATTGATCCATATATAAGGCGCTCCGGATTATAAGGCGCACTGTCGTTTTTTGAGAAAATTGCAGGCTTTTAAGTGCGCCTTAGTGCGGAAAATACAGTACCTTTTTGTAAAATATGGCTGTTTTCAAGGGTTTTCAAGGACTTAAATTTCAAAAAGTCAAATTTAAGCAACTAGTACGAACGTATGAATGATTAGGAAACATAGAAAACTTGCTTTTTACAGACTCAAAATATGAGTGTAAAAAAAGTCAACAAACTGAAAAAATAATAATAATAATTAGGCAATGTAATATTGTTAAAATGGATTTCCTAAAATTGGTATCGGAAAAAAGTATCGTTCAGGAACCGGTATCGAAAATTTTGTTACGATAAGGATCTGAATGGTAAAATGATGTTCATGTAAACATGGCCCTTGTTTTCAGCGTGTGTGAAGTCCCAGCTCACCTCCAAGGCCTTGTTGAGCGTCTCTCGCTGGTCGTGGCTGGAGCTGTTGGTCTCCAGAGTGTCTTCGTAGAGGTCCACCAGGAAGGCGGAGAGATATGGAGAACTGCACGAGTCCTGAAGCTCGGTCACTTGCTCCAGAAGTCCAGGATACGAGGACAAACCACCATCCTGTAGGATCCTGAGTCACAGAGCACACACACACATGATCTACACATCTTTTGTCTGTTTTATTATTTATATACAATATCACTGCAAAAAATGCTTTTCTTACTTAGTATCTTAGTCTTGTTTCCAGTCCAAATATCAAAAGATTCTTAAATCAAGATGCATTTACTAGATGCCAAAATTCAAAATCAAGTGAGTTGTTGCTTAAAAAAACAAGCAAAATGATCTGCCAATGGGGTCAGAAAAATAAAGTTAATTCACACAGAAACAAGATTATTTTTCTGACCCCATTGGCAGATCATTTTGCTTGTTTTAAGTAACAACTCACTTCATTTTGATTAATTCCCCCAGAAAACAAGACATAATATATTACGTCGTTTTACTACTTTAGTAAATGCATCTTGATTTAAGAAATGTTTGATATTTGGACTGGAAACAAGACAAAAATACTAAGTTTTGCAGTGTATATGTTGATGCTTTGACAACATTGTGATACACAGTCATGCTAATAAAGCTAATTTGAAATTGAAAATTGAATTGAGATAAACACTGTACACGTCTAAATAAATAAGCAATGTAATTATTTATTTCAAAGTATGAGCAACAGCAATAGTGATGCTTGCCTTGGCAAACACTGGATCTATTAATGATCCATGTTATGTTTTTGTCCATATATTCGTATTAACATTCATTCAGGCTCTTCAGTGCAAACTGTGTTTGTCTTCTCCTGTTACTGGTGAGCATCTGCCATCTGCTGGGATATGTTTGAAATGTACTGTATGTTTGAAAGAGAAATCAGATCTTAATCAGATGTTTGTGTCTGTTTGCAGCTCTCACCCTTTTAAATAGTTCCAAGCGCTCTCGTTGTGAGGAGCTTTCTTTATTTGTTTCAGTGTGTACCTAAAGAGAGATAGAGAGAGACACTTTAACACTATTAAATCATATAAAAACAATAAACATACACTTTACTCCAGACATTTAGCAAAGATTCATTCATCATCCTTATCAAAGCACAACATTTCTTTATAATTCCATACATTTTCAAATTCCTCTATATTCTTCATTGTTTTAGAAAATATGAGAGAGAGGGGGGGCATTGAATTGGTAATTGGTCATTTTTACTTTCCAGTAACAAATAATAGTCTTTAAATATGAATTATAAAAAAAATTTATAATAATAATTAATAATCTCGAACAATCAGCAAAACAAAATTTTAAAAACACAAAATAAAACACAACAATCAAAATTTAACAACAAAAAAACAAAATAAAATAATATTAAAACAACTTAAATAGATATGCAATTACCGCATATAATCTTTCAGGTCTGACAATAACTTACAACAACATACAACAATCATTTAAATTACAATTCCATTCCTAAGTATAGGTCTTTTCATTTCTGTATTTGGTCTAATAATTCGGCCTAATAATAACAATTTGGCATTGAATTGGTAATTGGTCATTTTTACTTTCCAGTAACAAATAATAGTCTTTAAATATGAATTCTAAAAAAATTTTTATAATAATAATTTTTTTATTTATCTCGAACAATCAGCAAAACAATTTTAAAACCACAAAATACAACACAACAATCAAAATTTAACAACAAAAAAACAAAACAAAATAAATAAAATAATATTAAAACAACTTAAATAGATATGCAATTACCGCATATAATCTTTCAGGTCTTACAATAACTTACAACAATATACAACAATACCTTTAAATTACAATTCCATTCCTAAGTATAGGTTTTTAATTTCTGTATTTCTGTATTTGGTCCAATGATGATTTCTTTAATCTATTTTTGAATTGAATGACATTTTAAAAGCAGGTGTTTGGTATTTGGGAGAATCAAGCATTGTCAGATTTATAGAATTAATTTTATTCTTTTAATGGCAAACTTTTATGTTCATAAATGTAAATTCTCCTGTAAAAAAACTTATTTTACTTCATTCAGGAAAGAAATTGAGCTTTATATTGATTCACTCCGATTTTCTATGAAGCAAAAAGCAATTAAAACATTGAAAATTTGTAATTGCTTTAATATCTTCATATAAATTAGCAATAGCCCCCTAGTGTGAAAGTCTTTGTTATATCTATATTGTATGTCAATATATACACAAGTGTTTGTACAAACTTTGTTGATAAAAAAATAAAAAAATTAAAAGCAGGTGCAATCACACATTCACATGTTGCAGTTTTTGTTTTGAGAGGAACCACACTTGTGTTCGTCAAACAAGCAGCTTTAAGTTATTCATAATGCAGCGCAGCGACACTAATGATCCATTTTATATGATATAAATCTTCATGAAAGGGCATTATAAAGCGTTAACGAAGATATAGAGTAAGACATCTCCTTTTGAAATCAAGACAAAATAAGTGTGAACTTCTAATTATTGTAATTTTTTAGATGCATCAAGTTATTGAATAATCACTCTTAAATCTGCTTAAAGCAAAACTCTAAAGGTCTAAGAAAAACATGACTAAAAAAATTAATAAAAAAATGAGTTGTGACCATTGGTAGTTTTACACACAATTTTTTTTAAGTTATCAGACAAGAAGCTTTAAGAGATTTATGCGAGCGGCGCAACGACTCTGATCCGTGATCATGAAGATATACATTTTTGCATTGTAAAAACAGGAAAATGGTAGTGCTGCAAACATGACATCCAATCAAATCACCTCATCTTGTGTGGTCAAAACTCACTGCATCCACACATATGATAGTCTTCTGCCTTAGCAAATCACGCTGCATTACTGCTGTTCTCGACAATGCACCTTTGTAAAAGCTAGCTGGGTTTTAGCTCTTACAGGGTTCCCACAGGTTTCTTCAAGTTAAATTCAAGTCTTTTTAAGACCATTTATATAAAAAATTAATACCTATTTCACGTCCCGACCAGCAAAGAAAAACAAAATCCTTGAACTTGTGTTCATTTATTTTTCAAATGTGGAATGGGTAAAAGATGATAAGCAAAGCAGGTGTGAAAAATAAAAACATTTCAGTAGGCCACAAGAAAGTTGTGTTTTAACATTAGCTAGCTACTTATTCCATGCTGGGAATACGGGGAACTGAGAGACCCCTGAACAATAAACATCGAAAATCATAATAATCGTGGTTGACAAATGAAACTTTTGTGGAAAAATACAATACGGAGAAGTTACATACAGCACAATCTTTAAGACCCAGACATCAAAATTCAAGATTTTTTTTAAGGTATTATTTCCAAATTAATAAACTCAATGCTTTTAAGGCTTTTTAAGACCCCGCGGGAACCCTGACTTACAGCATTAAGAACAAATATAGACACAGGCTGTGCTTAGAGATCGATTTAAGACTCAAACTCCCCTCCATACAAAAACACACCCTGTATGAGTTCTTGTTTTTAATGTCAATAATACGAGCAAGAACGACCGATCATCCACACGGTTCCAAATGTGACATTGATTTTACACAACAGTTCAACAAACAATTTTTTTTTTACATTTTAAACAGTATTGTTTGCTCTATTTCACAACAAAACAGTTTCAATGAAAGCCACAGCAGAACTTGTGCATCTCCATAATTAAGTGAAAGAATCTGTGGCTTTGAACGAATCAGGAGTCAATGATTCAATGACTCGTTCATAAATACAGTCGGCCACTTGATTGGTTACTGAATGAATGTATGAATGACTCACTCATTAAAGGAGTAGTCATTTAAACGAAACGATCGCTCATTTAAAAAAAAAATAACAACGTTTAAGTTTTATAAGCTCATCGAAATGAACAAATCTTTTTCCGAGTCATTTGATTCATTTAACGACCGAAATGAACGAATTGACTCCGAAAAAGATTCGTTCATTTTGATGAACGAGTTCGAACAGGAGAGTCACACAGAACAGAGCAAGGCGGGCATGTGAGCTTATAAAACTTAAACTTTGTTATTTCTTTTTTAAATGACCGATCGTTTCGCTTGATAAGACCCTTATTCATCGTCTGGTGTCGTTTAAAGCCCTTTGAACAGTTTGCACTGAAACTGTCTTTTGGACCTTGAACCGTTTGGTGCCCAGTAAAGTCCATTATATGGAGAAAAATCCTGGAATGTTTTCATCAAAAACCTTAATTTCTTTTCGACTGAAGAAAGAAAGACATGGACATCTTGGATGACATGGGGGTGAGTAAATTATCAGCAAAAGTTTTTTTAAAAAGTGAACTAATCCTTTAAAACACTGACTTGCCGCATCATACAGTTGGTTTTAGTTTACTATTTAAAAGCTTCATCATTTAATATATCTCTATTGAACATTTTTTTTTATTAAAAACCATTGTAATTGCATTCATGCCACCTGTGAACAGCATTAAACTGTGTGTAAATACATTTAAATCCAGCTTGTGCCACTGCAGTGCAAAGATGGCTTATGTTTCATTTGATTAAAATTATTGATTTAATTTAATCTATTGCTTTATTTATTGTATTAATAATTACATTAATGGTATTTTGACCCAAAACATGACACATAGGGGTAGAAAAACTCAATAATAACGTTATAATACATATTTAATGACAATGTTTCTACTTGTTTGCTTGTTTTTAAACATTTAAATGGTAGTTGTCATAAAAAATGATGGATTTATTTAAACATACCTTCTGATGTTCACTCATGTTTATTTAGTGCTGTAACTAGTAGTAAAGCGGAAGAGATGATCGTTCACGTGCCGCTTTGCTTGATCTGAGGCACATTAAAGAGCCACAAAACGCTATTTATTGTTTGAATTTAGTAAAACAACTGAGCTAAGAAGCAACAAAGCACATTGTAAAATAAGCTTATTGTGATTTATTGGATGGAAGCGCTACAAAATTGTTCATTCATCAATTTAAGAATCGATATCGGTTGTTAAAAACGAAAATCGATTAAAATAGAGAAATCAATATTGTTAACCCAGCCCTAGTATGTAGTGAGGAAATATACAGATTTCCTTTTGAACTAAGGACAAAATCAGCTTAAACTTTTCATTATTGCAATTTTTTCGAAGTTGATGAATAATCTCTCAAAACTTTGAAAGCCTGAGAACCAAAACAAAAATGAATTGTGATCATTGGTATTTTTGCATAAGAATTTTAATCTTTGAGCAAAAAAGGCTCTGGTTGGGATTTGTCAATGAATGAGACTCACTGCACTTCTCTGTCGAGGATGGCAGGGTCGGAGTATCCGCTGGTGTGACTGATGACGAAGTGTCTCTGATTCCAGGCCGAGTTATTCCTCACGTCCTCCTCTAACAGTTCCTCCACATACTCCAGCTCTCCATCCCACAGCTTATACTCCTGTGACACACACACTCACAACATGAACATGTGAAAAGTACTGACTTCGGTACCAAGTCGATTCTGAAATTTGAAAAATGTGACTCTTTGAGCGGAATCATAAACACCTCTGATTGGCCATTGTGTTCACGAGCTCATCAGATATGTCTGTGATTGGCTCATAGAATGTAAAAAAAGATGGACGCCGCCCCTTCGCTCTCCTCCATTGGTCAGAAGTGAAGGCGCCAGTGTCCCGATATGGCGCTGACATCTTGAACTTGAGTCTGCGCAGAAGCGATCTCGGCACCAGACCTGCGCAGTCGTGAGCCGGAAGTAAAGCCGAGAAATCAAGGCCCCGCCCCCACTCTCCAGAATCAATCGCAAGCACACGCTCCGGCACTTCTTAAAAATTAATTATAGAAATTTAGATATTAAATTTAAAGCTCCAATCTCCTCAGTCCTCCGAAGATCCCGAAAAAAAGTCAGTTGGTGCTTCAGTGACTACTTCGCTCAGAGAACCTGTCAATCACAGCTGTCAATCATGACGTCACACCAAATAACTAACTAAAAACAAACTTATTTTAAAAACAAACACTTGAAATTACATCAGCGTGATAAAAACTACAGTAAATGACAGAAACCGTCTTTGGAAAAACGATATTTGAAGTGTAATTTAATTGTTTAGTTGGTCTCACGTGCCGTTGAATAACACGGGGAGGCGGGGCTTATGAGCTGTACTGGGACCGGCCACCGGGGGGCGATCGAGACGCTCTGGCTTCACTTCTCAGGGCTTGAGCGGCACGCTTGGATTGGCTACAATGATCAACGCAACAGTTTGAGAGTACACAGAAGTGTTTGAAAGTTGTTTTTTTTAAACGGGAGCGGGAGCTTTTGAAAGCACAAGCAGAACCGATCCGCTGGTAGACGCCTGCTTTCAAACGCTCCCGTGTGTCTCTGTGTAAGCGCTCGCAGAAGAGCGTCATTGATGTATATTTACAATACGTTTTTGAAGCGCTGATCATTGTAGCCAATCACAGACATACTTGATGAGCTTGTGAACACAATAGCCAATCACAGACATACTTGATGAGCTTGTGAACACAATAGCCAATCAGAGGTGTTTATGAATCCTGCTCAACAGCGCTCTCATTTTTTCAATTTCAGTATTGACTTGGTAACGAAGTCTGTACTTTTGACAACACTACATGCAGATCAGCGAACCGTTGACACGGCACACGAGGCTGTGAATCTGCACCTGGATGACCCACTGTCTGTGTTGCCACGCGTGGTAATTCTTCGCATCTTGACTGAGAATTTCTGCTACAAACTGCAGCTCATCCGATGTGTCGTTCAGCCACTCCACCACCATCCGCCTGTGATGCCTGCACAAAATGTTTAACAAATAATCATTATTTCACTTTGTTGCGGCTCCTCTCTTCCCAGTCTGTCAGTAACGCTGTTTACTTCCTGTCTCTATGAAGCCCCTCCTTCTGAAAAGCACACTGTGCTCTGATTGGTTGGCTGAATCAGTGTGTTGTGATTGGTCGAGCGCTTCGAGTGTGTTTGGGAAAGTCCCGCCCCTTCCCATAACCGCCAGTTTAACACACTACTAACTAACTCAACCAGGGCCCGCCCCTTTATTCTGCGCATGAATTATTATAATGAGGAATATTGTGACGTGTTCGTTCCCGGGAGAAACTCAAGACTACAATGGAGGCGTTTCAGGAGTTCAGAAACACTGACACTGATATAGAGAAGAACCCATGATCAAACTGCAACATCACACACTAAAGAAAAATCTGTAAAAAATAAAATACATTACAGTGTCATACAGCATGTATGACAGATTATGGAAATTACAAAACCAATGAAAAAAAACAGTAAAAATGTAACATTAGTTATGCTTATAATTATTAGTGGTGTTTCACTATATTTGCCAAACTGCATGTGAACGCACTGGCTGAGGTGGACTTACCAAACCTGGTAGTTCTTGGGCTGATCTTCTATGATGGCCGTGATATACCTCATCTCTTCTCTCAGGTCTTTATCTAGAGCCTGCAGTAAAACTCTTCTGTAGTGCCTACACACAACACACACAGTTTAACACACGACTCAAGTGTCTTGAACATGCTTTCTAGCTTTTTGCAGACAAAAGCAAGCAGGAGGTTAAAATCTGCAACACAGTGCACACTGGGAAATGTACGGAAGCGTATTGCATTCACTTGAGGAAAAAAATCTACTCTGTTTTTCTGAATTAACGAGTTAATTATCTCAGAATTATGAGTAACTCATTAATTCATAAAAACAGAGTGAAAAAAATGTTTTTCAAGAAAAAATGTATCTCATAATTCTGATATTAACTCGTTAATTCAGAAAAACAGAGTAGATTTTTTTTCCTCAAGTGAATGCAATACGCTTCCGTAGAAACAGGTGTTATAAGAAATAGTGTAAGTGTTATAAATACAGAAATAAACACTTTTATTGAGCAAAGATTAAACTGATTAAAAGACATTTATATTGTTGCAAATGATTTTATTACAAATAAGTGCTGTTTTTTTTTTACTTTCTATTCATCAAAGAATCCTGAAAAATTAAATGCATGACGGTTTCCACACAATTATGAAGCAGCACGACTTTTTTCAACACTGATAATAATCATAAATGTTTCTTGAGCATCAGATCCTCATATTAGAGTGATTTCTGAAGGATCATGTGAGACTGAAGAGTGGAGTAATGATGCTGAAAATGCAGCTTTGATCACAGGAATAAATTACATTTTACAATATATTCACATAGAAAACAGATGTTTTACATTATAATAATATTTCAGAATTTTTACAGTATTTTTGATCAAATAAATGCAGCCTTGATGAGCAGAAGAGACATTTTTGAACGGTATTGTATCAGGTTTGCCCTTAAAAGCTCACTGGGCTGTGACATATTTCACATTTACATGTTAATTTAAATATCCGTGGTCTCACCACACTGTGTAATTGGCGGCGTTGAGCTCGATGGCTTCAGCCGTCAGTGCAAACGCTCGGTCACTTTTCTCGTCGTTCTTCAGGAGCGCTCTGAACATGTCGAACACGTCTGTGACTGCAGATGACAAGACAAACCGTTAACATTTCATGTGCCTTAAAGTCCCCCTGTGGTGAAAATCCAGCTTTTAATGTTGTTTATTATGTCTATGTGGTGTTTTTAATATGCAAACCATATGTAAATTCATAAGTCGACAGCATTGCTGAGTATTTCCTCCTTAAAACTGCAGTGAACCAAAGACAGTCTCAAAAACACGGTTTGAAATCGCTGGTGTTTCTGACGTCACAAACGACCTTGTAACCAATCAGATCAACGTGTGATCGTCAACCAGTGGATCTCTGAGCTGAGGGAGTGAGTGGAGGCGGGGCTCATTTGCATATTCATAGAACTCCGCATACTAAACGAGGAAAGGGTGTCGAGTTACATTCAAGATATTTTAAGACATGAAGACATTTTTTCGCAAGGAAAAAAGCGTTTACCGTATTTTCCGGACTATAAGTCGCTCCGGAGTATAAGTCGCATCAGCCCAAAAATGCGTCATGACGAGGAAAAAAACATATATAAGTCGCACTGGACTATAAGTCGCATTTATTTAGAAATTTATTTAACAAAATCCAAGACCAAGAAAAAGTTATTTAAACAGACTTTAATTCATTAAAACAGAAGGCATTTAAGTTATTCAGCTACACACAATAGCACAAAGAACAACAGGCTGAATATGTGTCTGTTGATGTGTTACGTTAACAACATACCGGTTAGCTACACAATAGCATAAAGAACATACCTGAGAGGCTGAATAGGATAAAATAAAATAACATAACAAGACAGCGAGTCCAACAGTTATCGGTAAAGCAATTTCACCAAGCTCCCGCGATCTTATTCCACATCACTGAACCCGTTGAATTCTTCATCCTCCGTGTCGCTTCTGAACAACTCGGCTATTTCCGGAGGAAGATGAAAACTAGCTGTAGTCTAGAGCGCATAGAGCGCTCTCTCGTGGCTGTAGACGGTAATGTCACCCCCAATTTCGCCAAATGATGCATTCACGTCATACCACAAATACATCAAAAACTCGCAAATAATAATCTGGGGCCGTCAGCGATCCTGTGACGAGTAAATCTTGGTAATTTTTATATATAAGTCGCACCTGACTATAAGTCGCAGGACCAGGCAAGGTATGAAAAAAAGTGCGACTTATAGTCCGGAAAATACGGTAAATATGTCATTTTGATGATCAAAGATGAGTTTTAAGGGATAAAATTAATGACTACAGGGAGACTTTAACTAAACCAACAACTAACAGCATACAGTGAGCTAGTCATTATCAGAAAATTAACTCTGACAGCATGATCGGGACTTGAAATTGGATAATTACGGCTCACATTACCAAATTCATTGCATGACTACTTAAATAAATAAATGGAAATGAAAAAGAACAATTGGGATTATTCAATAATGTGAGAAGAAAACGAGTGATACGAGAGACATGAAAGAAACGGGACAGTGATAATGTGTGAAAGAGAGCAAATGTCATTGAATAAAAGGCACTTACATTTCTCTGAATAAGCAATCTTCACCACAGGGTTTGGCCCATCATCCTGAGGAACCGGTTCCAGATCGGCCCACTCCTTTCTGTCCCTAAAAGAACAAAACAAGCACATTAAATGAGTTCATACACTTGGTAGTAAAAGAGCCCAGTCATTTCACTTCATCAAGACTTCATCAAATGGACAATACCTTGAATGTGATATGACTCGATATGACATTTTGAATCAGCAGCAGTGTTGGGGAAGTTACTTTTAAAAAGTAGTGTTTTCTCGTTACTCGTTACTTCTTAAAAAAGTAATCCGTTACTTTACTTAGTTACCCCCTTTGGAAAGTAACTTTTTATGTTACTCGTTACTTTTACGTTACTTTTATGTTGCTTGACTTTGGGCAGAACCCAATATCTGTTCCTAAATGTGTAGGCCTACATAAAATTCTACTATGAACTCTACTTATTGAAAAACTAGAAAAAAAACTAGAAAAAAAAGAGAGATTTTGAGATAGAAAAAAAATATATTTATTTAAATAAGATTTGAAAAACCTGTATAAACTGAACACCAAAGCACAATATTAACTATTGAGCGGTGGTGACGCGTTCATGAAAAATGTCACAAAGAACCGGCAAAAGAAATGATTATGAATATCGAATATCAAATATAGCAAGGAGACATTTCAATTGTTTATTAATAAACAAGTGTTTTCTTTGTCAGTCAGTGTCGGCTGCAAAGATAAAGTTGACGATGCTGACTCGCGATCTTCACAGTAGTGAACGCGCCAGAGAGAAATGCACATTTCATATGGATTACATAAGCAGAGAGTCTGTTTTCTCTCGTTTTGAATAGTTTTGTTTTAAAGAACACATTTCAAGCTTTCTATATATTTCTCAGATCTTTGAGGCAAGTAGCTTGCGCTAAGTTTCGGTTCATTTATGAGACGAGCTCAGTCCACGCGCCGACACGGAGCTCCTGAGAAGTCCTGATTATATTGCCTGCTATATTTACTGCTTATTTATTAAAGACAATTGGTTGATGAAACATTGATTAAAATTAAGATACAATTAATACAAAACGAAATTCACTTTAAAGAAAGGCTTTCTACAAAAACAAACTTAATGAAGTGGTCAAAATCATGCTTACCCACTCCATTTGTCTCCCGATTGCGCATCTTATGCTCTTACTCATGCTTTTCACTTTTCATATAGCCTAATCAACATTGATGAAATTAAAAAATAAATTATTTTATTTAAACATAAATATGAAACTAAATCGTTGTCTTTAATGACTAGGCTACAACACGCAGTCTATACAGAGAAATTTAATATCGGAGCGGGATTTGAGCGAACCCCGTCTATACTGTAAGCATGTGGGGGTAGAGGTACGATTTTCGAGCAATCATCGAATATTATTTTGCTTGATATGCCAATCCTTAATATTTGGTGTTTTAAATGCCTGTTTGAGGTCTCTGTGAAAGATTTAAAGCAGTCTTTTAGTGCCGCTTTCAGAGCGGTCAAGTCCGAAGAACTGTTACGTCCATAACATTGTTTCTTTCCTCATAAATGCGAACACGAAAAATTCAATACAATTAATATTTTATGTTCTGTGGAGAGCCAACCCTTCTTCATCCGGTGGGAGTATTACTTTTGGTTTGCGCAGTGTAATTCACAGAATTGATTGCTCTGCTACCAGCCTCTGTCACGTACCATGTGGAGCTTGTGACTATTGCAAGCGCGCAGCTGAGGAGACAGTGTTGCTGTCAAATTTGTCCATGGGGAAAAGTAACGTTGTGCGGAATTGAAAAAGGAACTACGTTTCGTTACCAAATTTTCAGTAGTAACGCGTTACACTACTTTTTACCCGAAAAAGTAGTTACGTTACTGTAACGCGTTACTTTGTAACGCGTTACACACAACACTGATCAGCAGGCATCAATAATAATATAAATGAAATAATAATATCAATGTTCTCATGTAGATTAAAGTCGCCATATAATCAAAATTGCCAAATCTTTGTTTTTATGAAATATTGCAGTGTTTAGGCTATTATAAATGATTAATTGGTGCACATTATTATTCTTTATTTATTCATTGATTATTATCTTGCAGCATCTCTTCTCTTCTCTGATGATGTGGGCGGGGTTATAACCTGTCACTCACATGAGATCAGCCAATAGCAAACCACAACCAATTCCCCACAGACAAAATCAAGCCCCGCCCACATTTGTTCTTGTTCCAGAAGCGCTTCACTCGGATATACGTCATAATAGAGAGGAACAAACTTGTGCAATTTCGGTTTCATGCTGACTTTAAGGCTCTTTTAGTCCTGCCTTTTTATTTTGATTCAGTTTTGATTAAATATCATAATCCTCTTCAGCAAGTTTTATTCAGAATCAGGCAGAAATAAAGATAAGTGACAGAGAACATCAGTAAAACAGCTAAAGGGGTCAGAGTGTCAATAGAATGAATCAATCAAGAAAACGGTTCATTTGAATCTCTTCATTCTCACAAACTTGTATTCGGTTCATTTGAATCCCTCAGAAAATGGGGGATATCGAACAAACTTCTTTAGGCTTAATCTTAAGGAAAATCTTGTGTGACTCACTCAGAATCAATTAAACTAACCACAGAAAACATCTACTGTAAATCAGGATTAAACAGACTCTAATAATAGTCCTGATCTGGATTAAACAGACTCATTCGGCCAAGGATTACAACTACAGTCAGGGACTCTTTTCAGATCATGTGAATCACTCAGAAAATGAGAAATTAACTCTCATAATGAGTTATTTTAGTGGTTGCAAACTGATAACTTGGGATATATAAAACTTGCTCAGGGGATTTGATAAAACTTTAACTCAGATCTTTTTAAAGCGCTCCTGATTCAGTTCATGTGAAAAACACATTTAACGTTAGCACTAACTAATACAGCTCTCTGTACACTGATGTGCATTGATTGCATGTAACGAACCGTGTCATCTAAAAGCTGACGTCCAACACAATAAAGAGGAGAATGAGTAGATTAAACATCTGTAATTAAAGTGATTAGCCGCACACTCTCATTCAGAGTTATCATGCTAAGCTAGCTGCTAGCCTGCTAAGCTCACCTGTAGAAGATATAACCTCCTTTAACAGGCTCCTCGTACTCCATCTCTGCCTCGTCCACAGTGTTCTCCTCTTCCACTTCGTCCTCCTCCAAACTCTCCGCCACGGAGTTGGGCATTTCTTCAACAGAAGACATTGCAGAAAACTGCACCTTGCTAATGCTAACTGTGCAGACTGAGGGGAGATGACAGAAGCGTGAAGGCAGAGACACGCCAGATCGAGACGCTTTCAAAATAAAAGTCTGATCTAGAACGCTTTCAAAATAAAAGCCTGATCTAGAACGCTTTCAAAATAAAAGCCTGAGTGAGAACGCTTTCAAAATAAAAGCCTGATCAAGACAACTTTCAAAATAAAAGCCTGATCAAGACAACTTTCAAAATAAAAGCCTGATCTAGAACGCTTTCAAAATAAAAGCCTGAGTGAGAACGCTTTCAAAGTAAAAGCCTGATCAAGACAACTTTCAAAATAAAAGACTGATCTAGAACACTTTCAAAACAAAAGCCTGAGTGAGAACGCTTTCAAAGTAAAAGCCTGATCAAGACAACTTTCAAAATAAAAGCCTGATCTAGAACACTTTCAAAACAAAAGCCTGAGTGAGAACGCTTTCAAAATAAAAGCCTGATCAATACAACTTTCAAAATAAAAGCCTGATCTAGAATGCTTTCAAAATAAAAGCCTGAGTGAGAACGCTTTCAAAATAAAAGCCTGATCAAGACAACTTTCAAAATAAAAGCCTGATCTAGAACGCTTTCAAAATAAAAGCCTAAGTGAGAACGCTTTCAAAATAAAAGCCTGATCTAGAACGCTTTCAAAATAAAAGACTGATAGAGACGCTATCAAAATAGAAGTCCGGCCCATTTCCATCACAAAGGAAATAAAAAAAACATGCTTTTGTAAATCATAAATGACATTAAAAAAGTCATCATTATGACACATTAAGTCATATTTATAAGATGAAGTCAAAGTTATAACTTTATCTAATAATTGTGATTTGTGACGGTCAAAATTACAACTTCGAATGTAATAATTTCACCTTTTTGTGTCATAAATTTAACTTTTCAATGTCATATTTATGACTTAGCTTGAAAAAATTCCGACTCATCTAACAACTTCGACTTTTTATCTTATAGTTATGACTTAGTGTGTCAATTTAACTTTTTTTTTTTAAGTGAAATATTTTTAAAAAATATATATATTTTTTTTATAACATTGTTTTTAATAGAAAACATTTTAAATAATATAATAAATATCTAATACAACTATATTAACATATAACATGAAAATGGAATACAAATAAGTTCATATAAATATTTTGATAACATCGAACTCAAAGTAACAAATGCTCATCACTGGTCCATTTTATCTACATCATTTCTATTTATAAACAAACATGCATATTCAGTAGGGCTCATGAGAGTGCTTGAAAATAATTCAAATAAAGTGGTTATATTTTAATGCAATTTAATTTCATATATAGGTGTAGCCTAGGGTTTTTCTGCATCAAAGTATATAAAAAAAAAGCAATTAAACCATTCTGGATGTTTAATTTTTTTTTTATTCATAATAATTGACACTAGTTTCTGTTAGTAAACACCATCAAAAACAGTTAAAGATACAAAATACATATTCCTACAAAGACGTGAGATATTTAGCTAAATCACAGAGCACCAGTTAAGGCCTTTTAACAGAAAGTGCCGTTGTTTGAGAATGTTGTGTAGAGCTGAGGAATTACTGTTTGCCATTGCCATTGATGGGCATTTTCTTGAAGTCGTCAGACTCCAGCAGGGCTTTGACTTTGGGCCGGGCTGAAGTCTTATCCACGAAGCTCTTGAGCGCTGGGAAGGAGTCCAGACAGGTGGAGGAAAGGACTTTAAGATTCAGCAGAAGGTCGAACAGGTTGTAGTCCGCAAATGAGATCTGTGAGGAAGAGACATGAAACATTGGTGATGGGTAGAATTTAACAAGTACTAAAATGAGTTAGTATTTCTACTGGAAGCCTCACCTGATCACCGACCAGGAAGCCAGATTTGTTTTTGGCCAGAATGGCTTCAAATGGTTTGAGATGGTTGGCCAGATCTTTGATGAACGCTTCTTTACCAGTCTCCTACACGAAATAATACACACGTCTAGGGTCATATTGCTGACAAAACATTCATATTTATCATGCATTTGCTCTAAAAATGTCTCAAAGGGTGATTCTTTTTAATTTACAGTACTCACGTATTCCTGGTAGATCAGCTTAATATATTTTAGGCGCAGATCCTCAACGCTGTCGTTCATCATGTCGATAAGAGAAGCCTCGCAGTCGTTTTTTCCATATGCACCTGAATGTGTGAGAGGATACATACAGTAGTATGCATTACGCAATAAAGATTGAATACAGTAGTATGCATGTTTAAATCAGCGAGAGGCGTCCAGTTATCATCTTAATGCATAAAGTGTAAATTTTGTGACGGTCGTAATTTTGACCGTCACAATTATTAGATAAAAAGTTATAACTTTGACTTCATCTTATAAATATGACTTGTGTCAAAATGATGACTTTTTAATGTCATTTATGATTTACAAAAGCATTTTTTTATTTTATTTCCTATGTGACGGAAATGGGCCAGACTTCTATTTTGATAGCGTCTCTATCAGTCTTTTATTTTGAAAGCGTTCTCACTCAGGCTTTTATTTTGAAAGTGTTCTAGATCATGCTTTTAAAAATTAAAATAAATCATGGCTGATAAAACTTTTGGTTCATTGCATTGCATTTTGGGATAGAGTAGGATCCTCGGTTTGTAGATTTCACAAAATGTTTTTCCAAATTTCCCTTTCTAACATTTTTATAGTAAACTTAAGTAAGCTTGATTTGACTCTGATGCATTAAAATGGTGAAATGTCTGTCATTATTAATGTCTGAAATGTCTGTCATGTCTGTCTGCTACGGATGTTTTTAAAAAAGAGCTGAAAACGTATCTTTTTAGAAAAGCGTATTTTTAAGTATTTTTATGTGTTTTTAAGTGTCTGCGTATTGATTTTTATCTTATTGTTTTGTTTTGTTTCTATTTTATTTTATTTTTATTTTTATTTTCTTGTAAGCACTATGAGATTTGATGTCAAATGTATAGTGCATTATAAATAAAATTCATCATCATCATTATTTACTCGCTCTCATGTGTTTCTTTTTTCTGTTGAATATAAAGGAAGATATTTTGAAGAATGTTGGTAAATAAGCAGTTGCTGGTCCCAATTGACTTCCATAGTATAGAAATTAATCGGTGTAAAGTCAATGGGGACCAGCAAGCAACTGTTTGAGTACCAACATTCTCAACAGAAAAAATAAAGGAATACAAGTTTAGAGAGAAAATAATGACAGAATGTACATTTCTGGGTAAACTGCTAAACTTTTTTCTTTTTACCATGTTTGCGACCCAAATGCCTCAGCATGGTATTGGACTGATACAGGACCAGGTCCCCATCCTGGAATTTAGGCAACTGTCCAAAGAGCTAAAACGAATCAAGCAAGAAATGATCAATATGCAGACCAGGCAATTCAGCTCAAGCTACATGCATGGATTATTTACATTTATACAATTAAAATAGCAATCCTATATAAAAATAAAGACACTCACACAGCTGGCTTTTATATCCCCCTTCATCCAATCGTCAAAGGTCACCAGGTTCTCCTTCAGTTGCTGCCCATAGTCGGCCAGCATCATCTTCAAGGCTCCACATCTGCCTGCAAACGCACATGACACTATAGTACAATCCTCTTAGTGTGCAATCACATGCCTCAAAGCACATAGGAAGAATATTAGACAAAATGATACCACAAACACTACTTTAGACTGTGGATACAGATTACATTCAATCATTCATGAGGAGCTGTGTTGCAATTTGCCAATTTATGTGCGGAGCATGTAGGCGGAAGTTCACCGACATTCATTCCTCATTCCCAATCTAGGGCAAACGCCTTCACACAGTGGACAATAAGAGCTGGCCGGATGCCAAAGATTATGAATGGAGCAGAGAGTGCATTTATGCATCGTCTAGTAAAATAACAAGCTATATTATAATGTGCATTTTAAAGTTGCATGCAAATTCAGTCATCTACTAAAATATGATTTATATAAGAGTTGCATATGGCTTGTGTTGCAAAGTTTGAAAGTTGCACTTTTGCTCGCAGCTAGACACGCATCATGTGACAACAGCTTTCATACAAACCTTTGACCGCGAAGTATGTGAGTGTGTAGGGAGCCACTGTAAAACAACAGAGTAAAACAGTTAGAGATGAAGTTGCATAACACACGAAAGCAGCCGAAAGGAAGTAATCAGATGGAATGTAAAGCAGCGATTGTAAAGATAGACGTGCACACTGGTTGGGTTACTACTGTTGTTTACTGAATTGCATACTAGCAATGCCCCATGCACAACGCCATTGTTTTTTTTTTTTGTCTCAATGCATGAGCATTACGTAACATTTGCCTCCATTCATTTTGGTAACATTTGCGCACATATTTTTGTACATGCGATGAAAAAGTCAAAGCAAATGCTTGAAAACAAGATTAGCACACGGGCCTATTGCTGTAACGTTACTAAAAACCTATGCAGCTCAGTCTGGATATGCGTGCATTGATTTACTCAAGTAGATCTATTTAAATATCTGCTCGTTATGTAATATCAGCTTGAGCTCTATGGATATCTTCAGACACACTGCTGACAGTGACGACGCCGTCAATCATGCCATTATTAGTGCAAGTAAAGTAATGCATTCGACACTAATGCATGGTTTCACAGTGCGCACTTAAAGCAGAAAGCTAAAGTGCATGTGACAGTCATGAAGTACTTACTCGTGTAGTAGATCTCGTGCGGGTTGAAGACTTGTGCACGCGCTGTTCCTGAAGTGAAGTGAAGTGCGCGCGACTCGAGGCTCCTTTTATAAACCCTCCTTCAGTTTGTGTCGAGTCACGCTCGCGCCCGGTTAGCACGCAAAGTGTGTTTTAGCTGCATTTATTATGACAACACTAATAAAAGTGTATGAGTGATTGATTTCCAGTGGGTCACTCATGTTTTAGTAGGCTACCGGTCATTTTAAAAATGAATATGCTTACGTTTGATGTTTAATTACAGCAGACTTTTTTTGCTCTGGCTAAACTCGAGCACATGAACTTTATTAAATATAACTTTTTATAAGGATAATGCTTAAAGAAAATGGTAGGACTAAAGGGAGGGATTAATAGTTAGCTTGCATGTCAACTCAAAAAACTATCAACTATGTCAACTATCTTAACAGCTTTTAATATCATAATGTCTGTAATCCTATCATCACACAAAATATCAAATATCAATATCAAATCAACTTATAACTCCAAACATTACATTAATTTACTGTAGCTGAATCACTGTAGCATTGTAGTTACTTGACTTTTCCTCTAGTTTGGGATTGAATCTGGTTTAATATGGTTTGGTATGCATGTCTTTATCATAGTTTCATATGCCAAAACAAAGAAAGAAAATGAAAGCCAACACAGTTCAGGTCAGATAAGGTCATTTTCACCCAGTTTGCATGCCAAGTATTATGGTCTGGTCTCCATCATCCTGGCCAAACAGCAGCAGGAAAAGAGAGGGAGGAAAGGAGAGAGAGAGAGATAGCAGTTTATTGCTTGCATTGAGAAAAGACTATCAGCGCTTCTGTTCATGATTTATCTCAGAGGAGCTTGTTACTCGTCACACCTGGGATTACTAACCTGATGAAAACAACCCAGGGTTTGGCATTACAGAGTCTGAAGCAGTTTAGTCTGATGGGTCCAAATATATTTTGCAAGCAGTAAATGTCAAATGCAATGTCCTATATGTTTAAAGTCATCATAAACTATTAAATATGAAATATTGGAATGCAGTATATAAATGATTCATTCGTGCACATCATTATTATTTTAATAATCTTGAATGAGAATAAGTTCCTCTCGCAGCATCTCTTCTCTTCTCTGATGATGTGGGCGGGGCTATAACATGTCACTCACATGAGACCAGCCAATAGCAAACCACAACCATCCAATCAAATCCCCACAGACACAATCAAGCCCCGCCCACATTTGTTCTTGTTCCAGAAGCGTTTCACTCAGATATACGTCATAGGGAAGAAAAGATGACCGCAACTTCTGTTTCATGTTGACTTTAAGAATTAAGAATCCATTAAAAAATCTGCAAGAGACTGTCAAACTTAATACTACATGTCTCAGTTAACTGACAGAAATGGGCTTGTCTGGCCTCATCTGTCAGTCGTTGGGATTGTGTTTGCAGTGGTATCATCAGAACTGGTTCCTCCTGTTCAGTCCTCATTGTGGAGGTGAAACAGTCAGTCGGGTAAAAGTGCAGAATCACCATTACCAAGTTTAAAGGCTACCGTATAAATGCATAAAGCACACAATATAAATGTGTTTACATTGCTGTACAGTATACTGTCACCTGTCGGTGTAACATTAACTGGATGCAGGCCTTTTAGTTGATCGTGTAGGTCTTCAGAGAAAGAGTTCAGACATGATTATTTGAGGAGCTGATAGCGTGCAGATGAAATATACAGCATTAAATGCCACATAATCTGAACAAAATGCATTAGGGAAAGTGTGTGCAATGGCATAAGTGTGAGTTGTGAGTTGCATGCACTTTTATCTTAACCGTAAACCTTTTAAATTCACCTGATCATAACTGTGTGTTTTAATAGGGCGCAAGGTCTTCATGCATGATATTTTGCTTTTAATGTCAAGGTAAGTATAGTATAATGTCATTATTTCCCTTGGCAATGAAAGCAGTGGTTATGCAGCAACATTTATTGTGGAGAATTAACTTGTTATTTTAGTATTTGGTCTAGTATTGTGCGGTATTCATTATAAATGATTTATCCGTGCACATCATTATTGTTTTAATAATCTTGAATGAGAATATCTTCCTCTCGCAGCATCTCTTCTCTTCTCTGATGATGTGGGCGGGGCTATAACCTGTCACTCACATGAGACCAGCCAATAGCAAACCACAACCATCCAATCAATTCCCCACAGACACAATCAAGCCCCGCCCACATTTGTTCTTGTTCCAGAAGCGTTTCACTCAGACACAATAGGGAAGAAAATTAAATTAAGGATCCATTTATAAATGCATATCTGTAGACCAATAGTGATAATAAGAGTGGACTCATCCTCATATGATTATCCATGTGTGCATGAAAAAAATGGACTTTTCCAAATTAAAATCTAAACAATCCTTCAAGCACAATTTGCACCATTTCCTGAAAATGACCCTCATATTCTGCATTAGGGATGATATTCTGTATGTCAAACATGTGCAATGCTTGTTTATGTTTGTATTTGTGGTCTTTAAATGAATTATTAGCTAAGAGATAAAGCCTCCTAGCTAATAATTCATGTAAAGACCACAAATACAAACATAAACAGGCATTTTAAGCAATTATAATTCCACATGTCTGTGATTTCTGATTCTCGTTTGGCCTTTGACAAGCAAAGAACGATAGAAAACGTGGAAAAACTCCCGAAACATGTTTCATGGATCTCAGAAAGGAAAGACAAATGTTCATATTTCACTTTACTATAGGCTATTCATTGCGAAATAATCGGACAAATCAATAACATGTAGATATAAATACAGCTGCATCACGTATTGCATTAAATATGATCCAAAGAAAAGAAGGACGTTTTGGCAATTTTATATCTATTATGATTATGAACAGTTTTAACTTTAATGTGATCTGAGCACTTGGCATTGTTCCCAAACTCTTACAGGGTCGCAAAGTCACACTCATTTTTTTACAACATCCCAGAGCGTTGCAAAGATACAGTCTCACTTCCTGTTCGGTGTCTTGAATGGAGCGCAGACTTCAGTTTGGTCTCTTTTGAAAGAAGAAACTCGTCAGATTATTCCTGGAGTGAAAAAAAGTATAAAATGTACACTTGAAAAAAGTTATAAAATTTTATTGTAATGAAAAAAGCACAAAAATAAATATATTTTTTTTTTACATGAAATATACTGTATATATTTTCAAAACAAGTTGTGCTCCAAATTTGAGGTTGATTGATACATAGATATCCATAATAAAGGCTAGATGTCTCGTCCGCGCTGCTGGCCAATGGAGGTCGCCGTCCGCACTGGCGGCCATCTTGCCACAGGCAGCTCGCTCACTCTAACATTGTGTTTTAATGGCGCATGTACTTTTTAAATAACCATAACTTGCTCAATTTCTACCGATTTTCAAACGGTTTGGTTTGTTATAAACGTCAGAGATGTAGTTATGACACTGTATACTTATGAATAATAAGTGTATAAATAAATAATCATCCAGAATTATAGCCACGTTAATAACGTTTGTAAGAAACCAAACCGTTTGTAAATCCGTCAAGATTTCACCGAGATAAGAGTATTTGTGTTGGTGCTGATCACTCATCTTACATCAGGCACCACAGAGCCCGCCAGAAAGCTTGCCTGTGACAAGATGGCCGCCGGTGATGACGATAGAGACTCCGCCGTAACACATCTAGCCTTTATTATGGATATCTATGGATTGATAGTCCTGTCTCAAAAAAGTAGCTTTTGTTAGGCTGCAGTACCAAACGCTCCCACTAGATGAAATTCTGCGAAAAAATTAAATGAAAAAATGAAACATTAAATTATGTTTTGACCGCTAACAATACAAGTGTGACTGTTTTTCAGGACCATTGAACCTTTTCGTTCATGTCCATTTTTTTGCGTGTTCGCACAGCAAGTGCCCGTTTTATACCATTCAGATGAAGTAAAAAATAGATAAATAAATAAAAATAAGAAAAATAAATAAATTGACGAACAGCACAAGAGGGTTAAAAATAAGATGGATAAAATAAATGTTTAATTTAGGTGGTTATAGGCTATAGCCTATATATATTCCTGGGCCTAAGTTATGGAGAACTATACGTCAGCCATGCAAAAGCTGCGATACCTTTAACCTTTATCAACCCTTTCCTTTGTTCACTGTGACTTGCATGTTTCCACAGCGAAAGGAAGGACCAATGCAAACAATTATATCTGAATGTAAATCGCCTCAGTGTTTGCGGCTGCGTTTGCAGTGATTATCCAAGAACTGGTTCTTCCAGTCACTCGAAGTGCAGAATCACTCTCACACACCATATAAACGCCATGGCAAACATACAACTACCGTAAGTGTGTTTGCATTCGCCAGATGACTTGTCCTGAAATGACTGGATCAACATTGAAGTTATTCCTGTACATGCAAGATACCATGAAAGTAGTCTCCATGTCCAGCTTCTGGTTTAAGTCATTGATATTCTCAAGAAAGATTCAACAACATGACAAGTCATGACATGACAACACTAACAAAAGGACAGACCTTTAGCCTGCATAGAAGTTTTCTCTTTTTAAGGGCACAATAGACCATCCTTGCTGTCTAGAGGCAAATACTACTGTAAAGGGACAGTCATAATTTACTCACCCTCATGTTGTTACCTGTATTAATTTATTTCTTGTGCTGAACACAAAAGAAGATATTTTGAAGAATGTCAGTTACCAAAACCAGTTTGGTTTCTGAAAACAATCCAGAATAGAATTAGCACGAAATCCATAGTGAGATAGATATTCTTCTGATTGACCTACAAACTGAACATATACTGTATGTTCATGCATCAAAGGGTTAATAGAGTTTCTCAAATTGTCACAATCACAAACAACAGTCATACCTATTAATTTATCAATGCCAGGTTCTAAGTTGCATAAAGGGTGCAATGAACGTCTCAACAATTTTATTCACGCTCTCGTCTTGTTGAGTAAAGACTGTCTTGTCATGTATAGAGAAGTTGGTTTCGGCTCACACATGCATTCAGACCGCAAAATATAGATGTGAACCCATGCAAGGTTTCTTTCTTTCTTGTTACTGTCCACAGCCGGTCACA